TTTTTGGAGATGTTTTACAGATGTGCTTTATTGCGTGTGTGCTTGTGTGCATCTTTGTGAGTGTATGCGTGAGTATGGGCAGGTCCACATGTAGAGAACAGAAGGGAATGCTGACTGTCTTGGATCTAGAGGTCCCCTCATTTGTGTCATGCTTGTCACCTGGTGCTGGGATCTGAACTCTGCCTCATGAGTGTGCAGCGAGCACTCTCACCTGCTGAGCCATCTGTCTAGCTCCACACCATGAACCCTGCTTATTGTGTGGTTTTGTATGGGTGTTTGGAACCTTCTATTGCCTCTCCCTGGTGAGTTTCTGCTTGAGGCAGCAGAGCTACCATCAAGCTGTTGTTTTTAATAGCATGATCCACTCTGTCTCTAAAAGAAAACAAATATTCCATAGAATCTACACTTACAGGCAGAGACGTCATCATGAGATGTTACGGCCCTTAGATCTAGATGCTATCACCACCGTAGATAATTCATTTTCCTAATCTCCAAAACAATTGGAACTTTATCGGTGTAGTAAAAGGGTTTAAATTTTTATTTGAAAAAAAATTTTTTTGAGATGGTGTCTCATGTAGCCCAGGTGAGCCTTGAACTCACTATGTAGCTAAGGCTGCCTTTGAACTCCTGATTTTTCATTTCCACCTCACTGAGGGCTGGGGTTACAGATAGGAACCACTCTTAGGTTCTAAGAGTTGCACAATCCTTAGAAGTATTCAGGGTGATATCCAGTGGCATTTCCAGAACGCACTTGGAAAGCCTTTAAGGAGTGAATAATCAATCGCATAACTCTCTCGAAGTTCTATCCCCACAAGGCTTGGGAAACATTGCTTAACACACTAAGGAAACCACAGAGAAGTTACCAAAATGGGTGGATGTTTAATTAAGGAATGAAAACACAGTCTTCTTGGATCAATTCGGGCTCTCAAGAGTGGAGTCCAAGTTTGAATTCTCTACTTCTCTCCAGTGTCTTCCATCTGTCAGTATCTCATGGTTGCCAGTCTGTCTGGAGCTTGCCTGTCTGTCTGGCTGTTGTGCTTTTGTCTCTGTCTGAATCTGTCCTTGTACCTGTGCCTTTCCCTAACAAAGGGCTTTGATTTGTGTTTATTGAACAGTTTAGAAAACATGATATAGGAGAGATATGAGAGATTTTTGTTACCAGAGCTTTCCAGGGCAAGAGTTGACCGGCATTGATCCAGAATAGCACTCAGAACTACAAACAGACACTATCAACCTATGTCTGCACGTTGCTTCCAGGACTTAGGGAGTATTTGTTATTTAGAGTTATTTTCAATCTGTTGGCTGATGTCACTACATGATGCCACAATAAAGATGCACATGCATTATTCTGGGTCTGTGTCGTAGAAGAATACCGACGAGTTATTGTAGGTTATAAAATCTGACTGCACGGGAAATCCAAGGCAGAGTAAGGTTGGTTAGAGTGTTTCTCAAAGGCATATTGAACTTAGACTGTGCACCCAGTAGGGTAGCAGGTTAAGTACTTGGTCTCGATGATCTCATGGCACATTCCTAACTCGGCTGCAAGGTCTGGGAAAAGTTCAGCCTCTTTGTAGTCAAGAGATGATTTCAGAAGAAATGTGTCGCCACATCAGGGAACACTGAGGAAGAGGGTGGAAATAACAGGGGAGCTGAGAGAGGGAGGGGCGCTGAGGAACACTGACTTCTGGACGAAACACAGCTATTGCACGCATGAACTCTTGGCAGCTATGGTGAACTTTCAGGACCAACAAAGGATCAAGAGTGGAGCGTGGATGGGGAGATGAGACGCTCTCCCTAGCTGAGGAGCTATTGGCAGTTAATGGGTCCTGGAGAAGGGAGAGTCACTTTTCTTTATGGGTGTGTCTACTGGTAAGTCGCTCTTGCTCCAGTAAATAGCCCCACACAGACACTCATGCAAACATCACTAATAAAGTTCAGTGGGTACTAAAGAAGAAATGAGATGAAGAAGTCATATCCCCAGCATTGCCTCTGCTGTGTCATTTATTCCACAAGGACACAGGCCCTGCTGAAGCAATGCTGCCTGCCATGTCTCGGCTTGAGTCCTACAACTATTTCTAGTTCCTCAAAGACGCTCAGAGTATGTTTGTTGCTAGGGAGCAAACTGTGCTATATGTTGGCCCTTAAAGGGGCTTTCCTGTTTGCGTATACAAGCGAGAACACACACACACACACACACATACACACACAAACAGACACATAGACACACATAGGCACACATAGACACAGACATAGACACATACAGACACACAGACATACACACACACACACACATACATACATGCGCACACATACACAGACACACACACATATGCACACGCAGACACAGACATAGACACACACACACACATGCACACACAGACACAGACATAGACACACACGCATGCACACACACATGGCCTTTGTTATTTTTCACTGTGCCATTACATAGACTCAACACTCACAGGCCTGAAATCTGTCATTTGGCTCTTAGAGGGGACACACCTAAGTTGCTTATCCAGAAATAGAGGCATGGAGAAGTCTTCTAGAGGGAAAGCCTGGCCTAGGGGCAGGAAAGCTGGCCACTGCTCGTGACTACTGAGTAGCCATCCCATTTCTTGACTTCTGCTTTCTGTTCTGCAAGGTAAGGGACTATATTCGACCCCCATGGATACTTTGGATGCACAGCTCTGACTCTGGTCCTGCTGTGCCTGTAACATCTAAGAAATTGAGGATAGATGAAACCATTGGGAGGAGGTGGTGTTAGATACAAAGGCAAGACAATTAGTAAATGACACCAGCTCATCAAAGACACCCAGGTAGGCAGACTGCCTTTCATGCTCACTGCGTGATGCCCTTTATGAGCTTCAGCTGCTAATGGCACATGAAAGCAAGTCTGTCTGCTGCCTATTAGCTCTAGCTGTCTCTGTGTGGCATCACTGTGGTGTGTCACCTGCTGGACGGTCCATGGGAATGTCCATGTATGGAGTGATGGAGGAGTCTGCTATCATTTTATAGATGATGCTGAGTCCATCAGAATTTGACTGTCCCTTCCCCTCCCCTCCCCTCCTCTCCCCTCCCCTTCCCTCCCCTCCCCTTCCCATTCCTTCTCCTTTCCTTCCCGTCCCCTCCTTCTCCTTCCCTTCCCTCCCCTTCCCTCCCCCTTCCCCTCCCCTCTCCTCTCCCTTCCCCTCCCCTCCCCTCCCCTTTCTTTCCCTTCCCCCCTTCCTTGAGCCAGGGTCCCACTATATAGCCCTGGCTGGAACTCCCAATGTGGACCAGGCAACCTTTAAATTCCACGCCCATCTCTTTTCAATAGAAATTACATTTATTTATTTGTGTGGGGTATATGATTGTATGCCCACCCCAGGAAGTGTGTAGAGTTAGTTTTCTCCTTCCCTTGTGCCTGGGGGAATTGAACTTATTAGGCCTGGCAGCAAGTATCTTTACCTACTGAATCTTCTCTCCCACCTGACACTTGCTCTTCACCCATTCCTCCCTCTGTCTCTCTGTCCCTCCCTTCCTCCATTCTGCCACCTGTCTATTTTCTCCCTTCCTCCCTCCCTCCCTCCCTCCCTCCCTCCCTCCCTCCCTCCCTCTCTCCCTGTCCCTCTCTGCTTCCTTTTTTCTTTTAGATTGTTTTGACAGTGCTAAGGATTGGCCCCAAGGCTTCATGCACTGTCTCCTCAACCTTTCAAAGGTTTCTTTATGAAAGGTGACCAGACACTTGCCACTCACTAGGATACCATTGTGAACACAAAACCACCGGGAAAATAACAAGCACTGTCAAAGAGGTGCAGATACCGAGACTCTCTTTCCATTTCTGACACACGGAAAATGGTGTAGAGATAAAAAGCCAACAATAGAATGTCTCTTCAAAAAATTCAGAATTTGGCCAGCAAGGTGGCTCAGTGTGTAAAGGGACCTGTCACCAAGCCTGATGACCTGAGTTTGATCTCTAGAGTCTCACATGGAGGAAAGAGAGAACTGCTTCCCACAAGTTTTTTGCTGATTTCCACAAGCATTGAGCACCCCTAAATAAACATATTAAAATTTAATAATGTAATACTTAAGAATGAAATTTGCATTTGGTCCAGCAATCTCACTTTTGGAGATATAGCTAAAAGTGAAGGATTTAAGATATTTTTGTAGCTGTCTATAGGGTTACTCACAGTGTCCACAGATGGAAGTAACCCATATGTCTGATGACAGACTGTCTGTGCCTAGAAAGTGGACCATAGGTGTGCAAAGCAATGTTAGTTCCCTCCCAAATTGAAGGAAATCTTCTAGCAGCAGAGAAAGTATCATGAAGTTGAAATTTTCTTGGGCTATATCGCAAGACCCTCTCCCCTCCTCCAAAAGAACAGGTCTGGGAAGATGATTCACCGGGTTAAGTATTTACGTGTAAGTATCAGGATGTGCTTTCAGTTGCCCAGAACCCGTGTAAAAGCTGAACATGGTATCTCATGTGCCTGGAACTCTAGTGTGCTTCTACCAGGAGGCAAGAGGCAGATACAGAAGAGCCATGAAAAGTGTGTGGGCCAGATAGCTTGGTCTACACAGCAGCAAACAGCAGAAAGACTTTGTCTCAAATAAGATAGAAGCAACAACTGATACCTGAGGTTGCCCTCTGACCTCTACAAGCACTTCATGGCACGGATATGACACACACATACCCACACACATCAGCAAAACAAGCAAACCTCAAAACCCAGAGAAATCCTATTACAAATAAGTACAGCACAGTGGTGGGGCAATGCTGGGGAGACTCGGTAGCTAAGAGCACTTGCTGCTCTTGCAGGGGACCAGGGCTGAGTTCTCAGCACATCAGGTGGTTCTAAACTGTCTTTATGTCCAGGTCCAGGGGATCTGACATCTTTCTCTGGCCTCCACAGATGCTGTACAAACATGCTTTACACACAGACAAACAGAATATTTTGGGATGTATATGTATTTAAATAGTTATATAATATATAGTTAAATAAATACAGAAGACACGGTAAGTAGGGTGGCAGCAAGAATGTAATTGTGCAGGACATGACAGTCTTCAGAGGCTGGGTCCAGAACAGTGAAAAGGGCAAGGAAACAGACAGGAAGGGACAGGACGTATACTTCACTGACAGTGTGTCCAGTGCTCTCCTGGGGCCTTCAGGGCTGTGTAGAGCAGGACACTCTTCCAGGCTGTCTCTATGCTGTTTCAGGTAGCTTTATAATCCTGCATCTTGCTGTGGGCTTGTGTAGCTCATGGGATGAGATACTCTTGGCTGGGATCAACAGTCTGGAAAGGAAGGGTGGGATGTTGTTAGCAACTTTCTGAGCCAAGTATTATTTCATTATCATTTGATTCTCTGTTAGTTTAAAAAAAACCTACCAAATTGTTTTAGTTTTATTCCTGCTGCTGTGATAAAACACCCTCACAAAAAGCAACTCAGGTGACAAAAGGTTTATTTCAGCTTATTCCAGGTTGTAGTCAAGGTGGCAGGAACTTATGACAACTGGTCAAATCATATCCAAGGTTAAAGGCAGAGAGAAATGAATGCATGCTCATTGCTTGTTAACTTGTGTTCAGTTCTATTTCTTCTCTTATACCATCCAGGACGCCCCCTGCCTAGGGAGTGGTGCTGCCTACAGTGGGCTGGATCTTCCCACACTCCTCTACAACACATCTCAAAAGATATGGCCATAAGCCAAATTATCCCTTCTTGAGACTCATTTCCCAGGTGATTCTAGGCTGTGTAAAGTTGACAATGGGAACTAACAGTCACACAATTCTATTTATATCACGTTCACTGTTGGTCTTTTTTTTTTTCAAGGAGAGGCAAGGCCATATCTGATTCCTGGAATTTGAAATACATCCAAGAAACTCTTTGCATGAATGGCTAAAATCATTTTTTTCTCATTGTGCAAATGTTCATCATCCCCACCCCAACTCTTAATTAGAGGAGATGGCATGTGGCTATGTCCTGGCTTAAGTGTCATTCAGGGGGACACAAATTCTCAGTTACAGCTGAGAGGGCAGAGCTTAGCCAGTTGTCTCATAAAGTTTAGTGAACAAGTGACTGAAAAGTGATTTTTACTCTGGGATTTTGGCACTTGTGGTCTCCACAAAGAAAGAGGTTTCCCCCAATGTGGTATTTTTGGGCTTTCTGGATCTGACTGTGTTTCAACCATCTCAGCTCAACATGTCCAGCGTGATGTATGACGTCCAATCTACTCAGAAGCACACCCTCTGCTTTTGCCTAAAAGAATTAAAATTGGCTCATCCATCTGGGCTTCCAGATGGTGATGAGACCCAGCTGTGTTCTCAGGATGGCCTGGGCTGTCAGGGGTAGACAGTGATTCACAGGGCAAGTTGAGGGTGCAGGGGATGGATTTAGATCACCTATACTGAAGACAGACTTAACACTCATGCATATGTACAGTCTTCCATCGACACTGGTGCAAAGCTTAACCAACTTTCTCAACCTCACACAGACTTTATGTATGACTTGGTCTTTCCTGGGAAGATACAGTGAGATGGTAGAGGAAAGGGAGACTCACTGGGTTTAAACTAGGCTCAAAGGGGCCTCTCCTATGCTATCCTTGTGTGGCTCAAGTCGGGCCTGCCCTGCCTGCCCTCCCTTGGGCCAGAAAGGTCATTGGACATAGAACCTGAGGACTAAGGGGAGAGTGCTTGCCGTGTCCTCCTAGGCGAATGAGTGAGCACATTTACCTGCAGCTGAATGGGAGTACCATGTGCAGTTAGTGCTACATCCTCCTGAGCTCCATCACTGTCTCGGGCTGAAAGCCAAAGGAGGGAAGGGCTGTGTTAGTGCTGGAGGGTCACCGGGACTATGAGGAGGCTCAGGGGCTTGCACAGAGACCCTTGAGGCCTTAAAAGCACTACTTGGTTGTGACAGCTATTAAAAAAAAAGAACCCAACGGGTTTGTTCGTTCATCCATCCATTCATTCCCTCATCTGGTATTTTTGAGACAAGGTACCACGTGGTCTGGGCTGGCTTCAAAATCACTATGTAGCTGAGGCTAACTTTGAACTCCTGATACTCCTTAATCCTGAGATTACAGGTGTGCCCCACCGTATTCAGCACTTGAAAATTTTGATTGAAAAGACTCCTTTTAACATTAATAAGGAATGTTGTGTAAGGATAGAACATATATATTCAGGAGAAGCACATGGGCATGCAGAAACTGTAAACACAAGAGAACCATCATTAATTTTCAGAAAAAAAGGGCCCAGCCCTGGGCTGGAATGGCCATTGTCTTGGCATTGACAGTGACCACTGGGGTCATATACTCTCAACAGTGCCTAAAGGCTGGCTTCTCTCCAAGCTTGGATTCATTTTCATTGTTGTTGTTTGAGAAGGGAGCGGCTGTGCAGCTCAGGTTGGTTTAGAATTACCTGTATAATCTAGCCTGGTCTCAGACTTATGGTGATCCTCCTGCCTCAGCCTGTTGAGTGTTTGGTTTACAAGAGTGTGTTATGTACACAGCTCGACTGGATCTAAACTTTAAAGCTGGACATAATAAATAATAAAAATTATTTCTGGAGTTTGCTTAACATTGGAAGGCCCTGAGTTTGATTCCCAGTATCACAAAGATAGACATCTAAGGGACGTACACATATACACAGAGACACAGACACAAACATAGACACACACACACACACACACACACACAGAGAGAGAGAGAGAGAGAGAGAGAGAGAGAGAGAGAGAGAGAGAGAGAGAGCTAGAGAAATATCATAGTGTCATAGAATAACTATATACAATTTATTTGTTTAGCAACAGTCTTCTCAACAGGCACTAACTCTATGAAGGCAGGAACTGCTCTGTGTCTCTGACCAAACACCTGCTTCATATTTGGGTGGTCACAGACACAGCTGTCATTAGTGGTCACACTTTAGAGGCTGCAGTGCTGGGTGGTTAGACCCTAGAGGAGTCAGCTTGGTCCCCCCATCTGTGTGTCCCCACTCCCTTTTTCTTTGTTTTACACTTGTCCTCTCTCCCTGTGTGTCAAGTTCTTTAACCTTTCCTTCATGTTGCTTCCTGGTGGAACCAAAAGGAAAACCTTGATGCTCATAACAGCAAGTTTGCTCTGTAGGTTCTTGAGGATGCAAAGAGTTGTTGTCTGTGCAGAGCCCTTGGTTTGGGGCATACAGGAAAGAGTGTGCGAGCTATACTTTGTATGGTATTTATGGTGGCATCGTTATGGCTGACCCTGACAGCTTCCACCTACTGACATTTTCTAGTGGGTTGGATACTGTGTTGTAGGAAACGCACATCTTCCCTTTGATGTAGGACAAATTGGGTGAGTCCGTGGGACTTTGTAGAATATTGGGAGGTTTTCGCACTCACTCTCTTGGCAAGAAATTTCAGCCTCATTCCCATCAGACTGGGTCAAAAATGACAATAGCCTGGTCTATCCATTTCTAGTTATTGTTCACAGTTTTATCAAAATGCTATTTCTTTAAATACAACCATCAACCACCTCATGGTAGGAAATTGATTTAATTGAGTAAGACTTGGCATCTATGTGTGGAAGAGGTCTGGGTGACACCATAATCTCCAATCAGATATGAAGAGTCTGGGGCTCATAGAGGTTAGGGACCTTGTTGGATAGAAAGCCAGTGTTTTTCTAAGCCAGGGGTGTGAGGCTCCATCTGTATGGTGACATGTTCTGCTGTCCCTGTTACCCGATTAGGTTTATAAGTTTATGCCCTGAGTCTTTGTGCATCTCTTCCTAGCCTTATCTAACTTCAGACCAAACAGATCCATGGTTCATTATCTTTTCCTCCTCTCTCTCTCTCTCTCTCTCTCTCTCTCTCTCTCTCTCTCTCTCTCTCT